ACAATTAGCATTAAACATTCTGTCACTTGGATAATTGTCAAAAGACAAGTCCTGTCTTTACACATGTCTGCTGTGTTAGAGACAGTGTCATATGACTTTGTGATCTGAAAACACACTCACTCTGTCTGACCCTCAGCTTGTCTGCAGATGGTTCAAAATCCTTTGAATTGAGGGGAGCTTCACATTTCCGACAGAGGGTATGCCTTACTGTATGTATTGACTTAATGACATGAGGAAATGGGTTGGCAAATCCTCCATGGACTGGGTAAAAATGTTTTAAAAAACTGCTGCTGACAGAAGACTTCTAATGTAATTACTAGCAGCCACTGACAAAACTAAAGTATTAAAATATAATAGGGAGTATCTTTGAAACCTGGGAGATCTTGTAACACTGCAAACAGTTGTTTTTACATCAAACAAAAAGTTAATAAAAGAGAAGTTCAAAATAAAGTATTGTTATATTTTTCAGTTATATACTATAGATCCACTTTTGCTGCTATTGTTTTTGTATGATAGCATCATGCAAACCATATCTTTATATTTGGGCATATATTAAAAAATAATATTAATACTGTATATTGTATATGTATTAGACAAATTCAGTATTTACCTATCTAAATTCATATGGAAATCCAGCCCTAACTGGAGAAAACAAATCACATATTTAATTAATGCTACATTTTTATCCTGCCTACTCTGGTAAACCTGAACAATAGGCACTTTTACTAAAACCACAGTAGAAAACAGGGCAGTTTAAGGTAGCATTGCACAACTGTCTGAGAGAAGCTTCATCACAAAATTGGTGAAAAAAGAGAATGTCACTACAAGCCATAAACATCCCACAACCTAATTATCTGTCAACACAGATAAAAAAGTAATGTTATGTAAAGTGTTGTTTGTAAATGTACAGACACTGTACAATGTTTGTAGCTTGAAGGTAGAAGACATGAAATTTTTTAGCCACTGTACTTCCCAAATTTGCAGAACTGCCAGAACACATGAAGTACTGAAAATTTTAAAAGAAGGATACAGAATTTGTGAACACATTAGTTTATCCAGCATAAATCTTTAGAATGTCTTTAGAATATTATCCTAAATTCGATTTAAAAAAATGAATATGCTGTTTACAGTTGGTCTTGAAGAGTTACTGTATAGACTGTACAGTAAGTAAAACTGTTTTGTTAAGCTGTATTCCCCTACAAAGGGGATATTTATGTGCTTTGCTTAAATTTCTATTCACCTCTATCTTCAAATGATGACTTATACAGAATAACCTAAAAAGGTCAGGCTCCACAAAACGGTAGAAATTTAAGACACATAATTGAAGGGGCCGATCATTTGTAATGATACCCATTGAAGCAGGAAACACCCACTAAACTAGAGATTTCGAATGTCTGTCTGACTTCAACACCTAAGCTCTTTCTTAAAACTGCATAACCACAGACTACTCAGGACTGATCAGTTTATGACAGTGATATAAGAATGTTGTTATAACCACTCTTGGCTCTACTTCCTGTGCTAATGAAAGGACAATGCATGCTACACTGAAATTGTGCTTTCCATAAGGCCATTATAAATAGTCCAACCATAATAGTGCATTCACCATTTCAAAAGAAAGAGCCCTTTTAGACCTTGGTTGTGGTGAGGTGGCTTAACTATCTACACAAGCATTAGTATTCTCTCCCTACTCAAGGTACTGTGTGTGAGAGTGTCTGAGGGCAAGGGTTGTTTTAGACCATGAAACTTTCCCTGAGGACTTCCTCTGAGGTTGTTATTCTTTGCAGTGGAATAGAAAGCCCATTCCCAACATCTGTTGAACACATCTCTATAGTAAGGAGGTTTCCTTGATAGAAATTATATTATACCTAAATGAGAACATTCCATGTGAGTCTTACAAAACTGCCACTGTGTCACTGAAATCACTCATACATATATACTGTATAGAAACAAAAAAATACGTACATGTTTTTAGCTTGACTTTGATTAAAAACCGTTTAGAAACCACGTCTTATAAATCTTAAATTACTTAACTTGCTAGAACAAAACACCACTTTCTATGGTGACTCAATGCTCAATACCCTTACAGAAGTATTATTAATAAGCTTATTTTAACAAACAACATTAAACTATATACATATAAACTAAATAACCATATTTTAGACACAAGGGTTTGGTTACAATTTTTGCAACTAGGTAGACACAGCTGTGCAAACCTTTGCATAACTGTGTGTACGTTTGCTTTCCTGCTTCAGTAAAATAGTCTAAAGCCCATAAAATTAAATACAATTAAAATCACTGGACTTTTTATTTTGATACCTGTTTAACCTCTGTCTCCAACACATCACTGAGTGGCTCGCCCTGCTCTAGCCCCTAGAGATGACATGTGCTTCACAGGGCTTTGCTAAGCAGCCACATCACTATCTTGCACATTCCTGTCACGGCCTGGCCTTCTGATATTGCTGCCATGAAGAGGTTTCTTCTCTATTCAGACTCTCCCTGCTCGGGTGGAAGTGGGACAAAATGACTGCTGTTCTCCCTTCACCTGTGAAATTTCAAAGCCTGTTAAAAAAGAAGCATTGTTTCCAGTGGAATGCTTGCTTCAGGCCATGGAGAAAATAACTAATTTGAGAAGGAATTTAGCGGCTTCTTTGGAATGTACTAAATATTGTTGAGCAAAACCTTCAATGTGCTTGGTCATTCTAGTATAATCCTAATGCCAACCTTAATTGCATTTTATGTTTCACTTCAAGACCCAGGAGTGACAGGAATATGGTGAACATTTAATTTCTGGACTCCAGCAGAAACCTTTCAATCTGCTCTCATAATTATTGAGAGGGGTAAAATAAACCTAATTAAACAATGCTGGAAACATCTGAGCAAAACATTTTCTACTGAATTCTATTACCTATTTATTTCTGTTAAGTCATATAAATTAATAAGAAATCTATACAGTTCTAACAGGGAGGGACAGAATTGGAGCATCACAAGGGAATGGAGAAAGGGTTCTGTCTTGCTATCTGTTCCAGGACCAACCCCTATAAAGTAAAAGTGATCACTCAATAACTTGTAGTGAATTGTTTTCTTCAAAAGAGAACTTCTATAAAATACGCACAGCCACTCTTTGTACTTGGAAAACAATGTTTTTCAATCATAAAAAAAATTTCTGGCATCTTAGAATTGCAATATGCATATGAACACAAATTAAACATGGGTTTCTGTGTTAGGTTATAAACACATATCATACATCCCAGTATATACTGTATTTAACTTGTACACACTAGGTTTTTATATTTCCCTACTCAGTCTCAATTTAAAATAGATTCACACTGAGCAAACTCTTCTCACCCTTGCTATACCACTGTGCCTAAACAAAGGACTACATTGAGAGTTTCTCCAGTTTATTTAGGTCTGAAAAAATATAGGTCTACTTAACAAAAATTTAGACAGGTTTGCCATTTTTCATGGAAATGAAAAATATGTTTGCCGACCACAACACTGACATTTGGCAAGAATAACTTGAAACGAAGCAGAGACCTTCAATTAAGTTAGATCACACAGACACACTACGCTGGCAGGCAGTCCGTATTCAACCAAGGACTGAGGCAAGAACTAAGGGTTTAACAGGCTAGGTAATTTGGCAGCCTTTAATGCTTCAGAATATGACAGCTGTATTATTTGCCAGAATTTAATTTACTTTTTTCACCCCAACCATTGTAAAAACAACAGCCAATACAGTATACTGTCAAAAGTGATATAGTGTAACCTATGGACTTCATGAACCTCATGTCTTATGTACATTTAGCACATACATGCCTCAATATTTTTTCAACAAAGTACATATGTACTTGAAAAATAGTAAAAAAAAAACTGAAATTTGACTGCTCATTTCACAAGGTGGACATGTTACCTTTATCCTACAAATGATTAATACTAAGCCTTTTGTCTATAGATAATGCACAAAAGCTTTATACTGTATACATTTCTCTTGGTAGGCAGCACATGTGTTACTTTATGGAACAGAGTACCAGAAAATGCCAAATCTTCACTTCAGCATGATTTATTTTGCTGCTAATAGTGACCTCTAATGGTAAATCCTTAGAGTGCAAGTGAACTCTTTCACGTGACTGTAAAAGTCCTTTCCTCGTTTTAAGTTTTAATTGTTATAAGGAGACATTAGTAATACATACATTTTAGTGTTAAAATATATTGACAGAATTATATTCTGCAGCATGTACTCAAACGTATTTATGAAATAATATGATATGTTCATAAACGTATGCATTTACAGTATAGGGGAAAGTAGTTTCAAAACATCAACTTGGCAACGGATATTGCGTGTTTAAAATTAAATTTGGAAGTAAATTTTAAAAGATTTCAGTCACAGTGATCTATGTGCAGTAAAGCAGACATAAGGGTTGGGTAACACTACACCGCTTAATAAAAGCTACTCCAAGCGTATTAAAAACAATACATTTAGAAGAATTACTTTAGTTATAATTTGATTTATTAGTGGTCTTATTGATACATGCTGTATCGTGGTTGGTTCATGAGTGATTTCTGGAGAGCTTGTTATTGATTTTTTTAAAATACTGATAACTATAAAATACAGTACTGTACATATTAGAGACGAACATCTCGTATCTAGTATGGCGCGTTGTGTACTGAGTCTTTCCACGTGAAAAGATTCTCAACAGGGCGGTCAAAAAGCACACCCTGCATGACCATCTCGCTCCGCCTCAAGAGCTACTGTACGCTTGTTTGATTGAAAAGATGGAAAACATACTCCGAAGAACATTTCCGCCACATGCTGCTACTACATTTGTTCGCTCACTATTTCTCCACGGCATCTCTTCCTGTACACATGATTGACGCTATTTGTAACCAGTAGAATTTCAATTTCCACGTCCTGCACTACTAGATTACAGGCTATAGGATGTCCTAGCGAGTGTATCCAATCAACTGAGGTTTTAGACGGAAACGTTTCTGCGTGGGTATGTTTGGATGCTGAAGTACTTCCTGAAGTACTGTAGTTGAAATACATGCACTAATATTAAACGAGTTTAGTAAAATATGTGATTATGCTCTTATAATCCAACACAGCATTGTGAGTGAGACTTCGGTGCACTGCTGGTAAATTACTGTTTAATTTTCCTTGCTCGGTTTTTTGTATCATTTTAATAACAACGGTAACGATCGTCTTACTGTATACTGTATGAACTTACTGTGTTTTGTACGAAACTAAAGCAACATTTCTATAGTTCAACACAATAAACGACTGTCGAAATAGCTAATAGATGAAAATCTTTTAACAAAAGATCTTTGCATGCAGCTTTTATTAGTGTATAGTTAGGGGGTACATCCAGGGATTGTAAACCTGGTAAAGTAATGAGAATGTAATCCTTATGTCTTGTTGTGATTACGATAGTGTAGTTTAAAGCAAAACTTTTTGCTGTATCGGGTTTTGTTTGAATTCGAATGGTGTCATCGGAATTGATAGATTAATAGAATAAGATGTAATTTGTCTTGCTTTTTCCATGCTTCATCCGCACAATCTGTTCAAATAGTTGAAATGGATCACGCTGCTATACAACTAGAAGGCGTTTAGAGTCGTTTTTCATCTTGGGAAGGTTGTTTCTATTTTGCTTCATATTATATGTGCAGAACAAGCGTTTTGCTGTTTACGTTATAAAGAATATGCATTGTGCTTTTTGTTGGAGCAGAATATGGCTTACTCAGAGGATCCGGATAGGGACGTTGTCCTGACAAAAAAGAGCAAAACGCTGATCGTACGACATCTGCCTTCTGAACTGACTAGACATGAAAAAGAAGATCTTCTGAAGTATTTTGGAGCCACTTCAATAAGAGTGTTCTCAGATAAGGGAAGGCTGGTAAGTCACCAGGTTTCAGAACTTGGTTGTTACAGTAAATATGGAAACAGGGAATTATGTAATTTTGTTTTGAAGTATTGTTACACACAAGAAGGACTTGCGGTGTATGCTGCTGTAGTTTGTTTTCAGGACCGCCCTTAAAATAATTGCTCTGTTATTGAGTGAAAGTTACAATATAAAGCAGAATTACCTTTTGGAAAGGGTTGGTCTAAACATTAATCTCCTGACAAATTCGAATACATGACATTTGTGTGTTCAGTTTTAATTTCCACATCTTGCAAATTCCACTCACTGGCCATTACATTAGGAACCCTAAATCAAATACATCATTTTAACGTTCGTTTGAGGTTGACTTGTGGAACATAAGGCAAACATCTGTCATTTTTTTGACACTTCAGTTTCATTGTCTTTGTTATAAATCAATACAAATGGAGCCAATATTACAATAAAGATTGTAGTGAAGTGTAGATTTCTTTTTAAAATAAATAACATTATTAAAATTGTACCCTGTTGTATTAAGAACTTCCTTTGTTTTTTTTTACAGAAACATACAGCGTTTGCAACTTTTGCAACCGAAAATGCATCTTCTAGGGTATGTAACATTGCAGTATTTATTTGTTACTGTTTTCATATCAAAATATTTATTTCTGTGTGGTTGATGTGTGTATAAAATATTGTAGAGGTAAATCATGTAAATAATTATATCCTTGTATTACAGTCTGGAGAGATTAGGTATGTTTAAATGATGAAAACCTAATGTAAAAATACTAACTGTAAAAAAATGGTTTTGTTTTCTTTTAGGTAGCAATAGGTTTTATTTCCTTGGAATGGTTTTAAAGTTAAAATCAAAACACTAGGGGAATACAATTAGTTATAACTAAAGTGAAAGTGAAGATCCAAAATTTCACAGTACCACAATAATTTTAAAACTGCATGCTATCATGATTTTTTTTTCAGGCTCTGGCAAGACTACATCAACTAAAGATCTTAAACCATACATTGGTTGTTGAATTTGCTAAAGATGAAGACAGCATAAATCTTCTGAATCAGCAGCCAGTTTCAGAACGGTATTGAATTTGCTGCCCATTACATTAACTGCTTAAACCGACTCAGCATAGCTGACCAAAATAAAAAATGTGCAGTGCATTATTTGAGAACTATTTCTAGATTTAATATTAATTATTGCCTTTGTTTGTAGTTTTTGCTTTAGTAAATCAAACATATTATCCATTTAAAAACAGATTATATATACATACAGTAAGTTGTTGAGGTAGTTAAATCTGTGAAATTCTCTTATACCTCAGTATATGAATCTAATAATTTACAAGTGTAACTTGTAATGATCACAAAATTAGCATATTTTGTCTCTATTTGTAGTTTAGATGATGAAGCAATAAAAGATGAAAAAGACAAGCAATCACAGAACATTCCTTTAATTGAAAATGGAATTGCCCCTAGCCTTGGGTAAGTATGTAGGGTATGTAACATTGCAGTGTAACCTTGGGTAAGTATGTAAGGTATGAAAAATTGCAGTGTT